CACACAGCCACTGATACACACAAACAAGGAACAACAGCAACACATGTCCATGAATTATTCAAGAACCCTTTTTCCCCAGACCTTTAATTCAAAAGAGAATTTTTTTTTTCTGTGAAAAAAAAAATTTTTTATGTAATTACTTTGGTGTAGTATTAATAAGGGGGATTTGTTATCAATAAGAAAAGCTGTAAAATCAATGTAAATACAGCTAAAAGTTAAAAATCTATCTGAGATTTTATGCTTGACACCCCTGGTTTAGAAAAATCTGGAGACGGTACAAAAGCAGTCAAATAGCAATCACAGGAGGATTATTGTTCATAAGATCTTAGCCAACAATTACAGAGGAATGCATTTCAGCTGTTTGGGGCTTTTGAAAGAGGCCTGCTAAACAGAAAAGACAAGTAAGTAAAAAGATAAAGAAAAAACTAACCAGTGTTTATTTAAACTAAGGGCAATGACTGATTTCTGTGAATGATATATTACCAAATGAATGCTTCAGTTGCGTGAATGTGTGCCCTCACATATCCAATTTAAATTCATAATATTGTAGCGGGCTAGGGGGAAGGGCCACTGGTCCAAGGTCTTATGGGACTGTATACCTGATGTTAACGTGTTGTAAGTTGTAGGGTTATAACGGCAGTTACAGTTATCAGGTGTTGATTTGCCATTTTTGTGTTAGTGTGTAACATTAGTCCTGCTGTGTGTTCTGTGTTTGGTGTGGCTGGTGGAGCACAGTGAGTTAGACGGCTGTATCCATTTACCACCTCTCACTGCTGTGTGTGTGTGTGAAGGGGTGTTCCTAATAAAAGATTGTGCTCCCTGTAGCTTAGTATAACAGCTAAGGCAGAAATAGCAAGTTAAAACAGAAGTTTCTGTCTCCTACTTGTCTGAGCTTGCCACAATGTTAAGATTCATCCAGAGAAAAAGAAGAGAAATCTTCTGTTCAAAACACAAAGCTTCTTTTTCAGGTGTAAGACTCTCAGTTATGCTTTCATGTTGCTTTTGTTTTTTGGCCATCAGGTTTGTACAGTAACCTGGATTTAAGACAGGAGACATTTGTTTATTTGTTCAACTTTAATAACTCTGTAAGGCTTCAGTTTATTAACATAATGAGTAAAGTGTGGACATCTCGCT